TATCTTCAGCCAATGAAGCCTTCTACTTCAAGAAGCACAGGAAGCATACAGGCCTCCTTCACCCTGCTGGAAAAAGCACACTTTCAAAGCAGGCAGAGTAAACCATACCAAACCTCCTGAAGACTTTGGTCAGTCCAGAGAAAAAAATATTTTAATTAATCTATGACATAGAAATTATAATCACAGAGTGGCTGAGGTTGACAGGAAGCTCTGTGCCCTTCTGCCCAACCCCTGTCCCAGCAAGGACACCCAGAGCAGAGTGCACAGGGCCACAGCCAGGCACCTTCTGGACATCTTCAAGGAGGAGATCCGTAGCCTCTGGACGGCTGTGCAATACAAAAACTGTAACTGTAAATACAAAACTGTAACCAATACAGTTCCTTGTATTTGAAACAGAATCACTGAAAACATTCAGATTACTTCACAGCGAAACATGTGCACATTATCCCCACAGCCTACCACCATATGCCTATGATTCGTACTTACGTCCTTCAGACAAATTATTTGGATATTTTTCAAAGAAATTACACAAAGAACTGGTCAGCTTGCACAGGTTTCACAGGCAGCAGTGTGAGGTTTGGGTTGTTTTTTTTCTGGTGGATTTTTTCTCCCCTCCTTCAGTGCCAGAGCAGCTTTCCTCTTCCTCCTGCTGGCAGCTGCTGCCATGGTGTCACCTGTACCACAGCAAGGCTCACCCAAGTCCAGCACTATTGGATCCACTCAGGGTCTCAGCAATCCATGCCAACTGAAGGCATTAGCTAAGCAGGAGTAGCACAGGCAGCAACTTCAGCAGTAGAAACAAGGCAGTCAGGTAAAGAGGAGGGGAGGAACAAAGGGCAAGTGGAAACAAAGATGTCTGCATAAAACTTCGTAACAGCAATCTACTGGAAACACAAGGTAAGCACATGTGTTATCTCTGAAAAATGTCTGAGGCCCACAGGAATGAAAGCTCTGCTCTCAGATGATCTCATCACACGTACCATACCTGTTATTTTAAGTGTCTCACTCTGCATGCATCTATTTTACAGGTACAAGTTGGCAACTTGCTGCACACAGTCTGTGGGGGGCTGCACCTCCTGTGCTCTTACCTCAGCATCTTCCATCCCCATCCGCTCAAGTGTATTAAATAAGGAAAACACTTGAGGATTTGTAGAGGAACACAAAGACCAAATATAGCAAGTGGGGAAAAAGCACGCAGTATGACTCAGATGGAGGTTGCATGCATACGGATTTTATAATCACTTCTGTGCAGAACCCATCTATAAAAAAAAAAATCTAGAAGGTTCATAAGAAAGTACAATTAAATGTAATTCCAAAACAAAAAAAAGCTTTCAAAAATAATTTGTACATTCAGACTTTAATACCAGTAAGATAAGTATGTTTATTCTCAGCTCTTCCCTGTATTTTGTCATTCCGTGAGCCAACACATTTAATCTTGTATACACACACTGACAATTTCTCCTACTGCATTTTTAGAAATAAAAAATATCAGGAAAATAGGGCTGACTTTTTGTTTTGCTTTAAAAGGAAAAAAAGATGACACTGTTTACAAATAAGCCTTTTTCTTTTTCCCCTCTTTTTCTCACAGGTTCTCCAGTAGCCTTTGACCAGGTCTTCACAGCAATGTAAAAATTCCTTACAAAAATATTTCAATTTTTTTTTTTTTTCTTCCCCAACCACGCAGATTTTTGTAAGTGCACAATTAAATTGCTTATATTTCTTTAACATTAAACAATATGCTTTTGCTAGGTTTTCTTCTTTTCCAAAAAACACAGGTCTTTCTTCCAAATAGAAAACCAGAGAGAAGCAGCAGCAGCAACT